GAAAAATTAATTGTCATAATTCTTATTTAAACTTTAAACTAATATTTGAGCCAGTGTCTGTCTAAAATGTATTTATTAATATATTAGCTTCTTCAATAGTTAATATTTCCAGTTTTATGTCAAACAATGAGAAATTAAAGCAACAGTACAGAAGTTTGTATTAAATACACAAAAGTACACAGCTAGGGTAATACACTGATTTGAAATAAGTGTAGTATTATGTAAGGATATTACACCTGGTTCATTTATTGAACAGGCGTACTCATTTGCATATTACGCCTGGTTTTCTCTGGACCAGGCGTACTCATTTAAATATTACGCCTAATTTTACGCCTGGTTTCCGCCTCAGTTACGCTTGGTTTCCGCCTGGTTTACGCCTGGTTGACGCCTGGACATGCATTCCTTAAACACTGCAATGACGCCAGGATAAAGTATGATTTTTACGCCTGGTTTCCGTGTCATATACGGGCGTCACAGTTCGTACAGGTAGCTAAAACGAGTAAAATGGCCTTTTATTTTTGAAAATTGGTTGAGTAATGAATAATTTATGAAGGTTAGCAGTTGACACTGAAACGCGACAAAAACTGATTTAAAGAAAGGTGCCAAGTCAAAGTGTAAAATCTTGTTTCTACCTCAATTTTTGGCAAAATCTTAAAATCTATACCTCTTTTGTCAGTTTTTTAACGTTGAAAATCTTTATAAAACCTCTGGTGATGCAAAATTGTACAAAATTTAACAATTTCAAGCATGAAAATGTTAATCTTTATGTTTAATGTATACCAAAGACTTGATTAAAACACTTGGTAATGGGGAATCAATTTCTTACAGCTGAATCAACAATACATTTAATATATGTCAAAATGTAACATGAAATCTTGATAAAAATAATAATTTGATATATATTCGCAAGAAAAAATACAAAACATTCAATACTTAGGCTACTACATACTGCGCAATCCTTCAGAAGCAAGGGTTAAGCAAATAGAGTACAATTATATGCCTTGTGTCAAAATGTCTAATTTTGGTTGCTAAGGACTGTAAACAATAAAATTGACATGTATTGTCATTCTTAAACACTTAATCCCATCAGAAGTTGATTTAGAATCTAAATATCAATAGATTTGTGGTATGAAAAGTCTTAAATTGTACAATTCTGAGCTTGGTAAGTATGCCTTAATAGTAAATATTTTTTTCAAATTCTCCCTTTTAACTAATTTTCTGTGTTCTGCTAGCTAAAACGAGTAAAATGGCCTTTTATTTTTGAAAATTGGTTGAGTAATGAATATTTTATGAAGGTTAGCAGTTGACACTGAAACGCGACAAAAACTGATTTAAAGAAAGGTGCCAAGTCAAAGTGTAAAATCTTGTTTCTACCTCAATTTTTGGCAAAATCTTAAAATCTATACCTCTTTTGTCAGTTTTTTAATGTTGAAAATCTTTATAAAACCTCTGGTGATGCAAAATTGTACAAAATTTAACAATTTCAAGCATGAAAATGTTAATCTTTATGTTTAATGTATACCAAAGACTTGATTAAAACACTTGGTAATGGGGAATCAATTTCTTACAGCTGAATCAACAATACATTTAATATATGTCAAAATGTAACATGAAATCTTGATAAAAATAATAATTTGATATATATTCGCAAGAAAAAATACAAAACATTCAATACTTAGGCTACTACATACTGCGCAATCCTTCAGAAGCAAGGGTTAAGCAAATAGAGTACAATTATATGCCTTGTGTCAAAATGTCTAATTTTGGTTGCTAAGGACTGTAAACAATAAAATTGACATGTATTGTCATTCTTAAACACTTAATCCCATCAGAAGTTGATTTAGAATCTAAATATCAATAGATTTGTGGTATGAAAAGTCTTAAATTGTACAATTCTGAGCTTGGTAAGTATGCCATAAGGTAGCAATAAACAGTTAGGAAAAAATATTAAAATTTTCCCTCATAAATTTTACCATCCCCTTTTCATTGCCTTCTTGCAATATTAAGCTTACTGTTTGTGTCATATATGTGCATATGTATGTAATTAGAATCTTCCATAGATTTCATATCCAGTATATGAAATGGTAAAATATAATTTCTCCTTGGTGTATCCATGGCAACAATCTGCATTTTTTTGTTATGAAATATAGCAAAAAGGGGGGAAAAGATGTCACATATTTCCCCAAAATTTGACCAAAAGTAGAATTTCAATCACTTCAAGTAATACCTTTTCTGAAACTGTTTACATATATCTTTCAATAAATCCAATGAAAATCATATGTCTTTCGTCTCATTTTTTTGTAAAATTGCGTCAAAAACTTCGTGTAGAAAAAAAGTGTTTGTAAACATTACATTAATTTCTGGACCGATGACCGGTCTAGCTATGAAAATACGGAGAGTCAAACAGAAAATAGCCCATAAAACATGTAAAAAATAATCTTGATGTTCTTATAAACCACCTTTGAAGGTTAAATTAGTACTCAGCTGTCTAAAAATGAATTTTATTACACAATAACTTTCATATTTGAAAAATCCACCGGGGCCAAAATGCGAAACCAAACTCCTAACTGTGTATTGCTACCTTATTCTTCCGGATCGCCTGAAATACCCCGGCTTTTTGGTGACGTTCATGTCGCTCATTCTTTAATCTTTTATGTAGTGCTATGTAGATTGTTGTCGTCTTTTCGTCTTTTCGTCGTTTTGTTTTGCCATGCTTTTGTCGTTCTATTTTCGACCTATGTGTTGCGATTCTCTCTTGTTATCTTCCCTCTATTTTTCCAGACGATTTGCCAAATTAGAGGAGCATTTATTTTTCTTACACCCAATATATATATTATAATTATTGCACATTATGAAATAAGTTTATTATCATATAACATAAAATAAGAAAAACATGCATCCATCTAAATTATATTACACGTAAAGCGTTCTCTCGTATTCATTAGGATCCAGAAAGCCAAAACATTGAAAATTCAGAATACAATTCAAACGAGTATTCAAAAGGCAACTCAAACGAGTGTTCAAAAGGCAACTCAAATAGGTATTCAAAAGACATCTCAAACGAGTGTTCAAAAGGCAACTCAAATAGGTATTCAAAAGGCATCTCAAACGAGTATTCAAAAGACAACTAAAACGAGTACATGTATTCAAAAGGCATCTCAAACGAGTATTCAAAAGGCAACTCAAACGAGTGTTCAAAAGGCAACTCAAATAGGTATTCAAAAGGCATCTCAAACGAGTATTCAAAAGACAACTCAAACGAGTACATGTATTCAAAAGGCATCTCAAACGAGTATTCAAAAGGCATCTCAATCGAGTATTCAAAAGGCATCTCAAACGAGTATTCAAAAGGCAATTCAAACGAGTATTCAAAAGGCAACTCAAACGAGTATTCAAAAGGCATCTCAAACGGGTATTCAAAAGGCAACTCAAACGAGTATTCAAAAGGCAATTCAAACGAGTATTCAAAAGGCAACTCAAACGAGTATACAAAAGGCAATTCAAACGAGTATTCAAGAGGCAACTCAAACGAGTATTCAAAAGGCAACTCAAACGAGTATTCAAAAGGCAATTCAAACGAATATTAGTATTCAAAAGGCAAACGAGTATTCAAATGGCAATTTAAACGACTCAAACGAGTACTTAAAAGGACATGTTTGCTTCAAGGGGAGAGGGGATGAATTTTCCTTTTTCATATTTTGTTTTTATGATTTTTGTTATCAGGACAAATTTTATTTTGATACTTATTGAGAATGTACTAAATCATCCCAGATAGGGTGCTTTGACTACTAGATGGATGATACCCTCGATGACCAGTTGTTTACTAAGCGATGGTATCGACATAATGGTATTAAACTGATCGTTAACTAATCGTTAATAACTGTGATACAAGCAAGAAATTTTGCAGCGTATTTTTTCTCCTTAAACCATTGTGGTGACGTCAGCCTATTCATTTATTGTGGATTCTTTTTCTAGAATCAACGCTTCCTTAATCTGCCGCTGAAATTGACTCACCAAATTATATTCAATTGCTTCCTTTGTGTGCCTAATTTCATTAAGTTTGAATTGGCTAATTTACTGATTTCTGTTCACTAATGGAATTAATTTAAAAACTTACCTTTATTTTTTTGTAATTTTTATATGCCTTCACTGGGAAACGAACCCTTCCTTGAAATCTGTTATGTGTGACTGACATCAACACATCGACGAAACCTCTCGGCTACCAATGTGTTACACTAGAGATGTCTATTTTATATATTTAAATATACATCTGATATACATCGGTTCATCGGACACACAGGGCTTGTACCTTTATATAGACACAATAGGCAGTCGTATAGTATGAGCATGGTTAAAATCAATGAATCCCTGTATCCTCTCTGTTGTTCCAATTCTTAAGTGATCCTGTTTTTTTTTCTAATTTTGCATGTTGTAGTGGATATTTTTGTAATAATAGCGAGTTTTACCGGTTTTTTTTTATTATTATTGGCTATTTCACATGTTTGAAACCAAAATGATTACATTCTATTTGTCAATTTTTGTTTTATAAATATAGTAGTATGATTTCATCTGTTTTACTACATAATTTTACAAAGGTTTGTTCGCAAATTCCTATGCGAGAAAATCGTGATGTGCCTAGAGTGCTAGAAAAATTTCGATAACATACTTATTATATATACTTTATATATGCTTTTTGGTCGGGTTGTTGTCTCTTTGACACGTTCCCCATATCCATTTTCAATTTTATTAGAAATAATTTCGAATATGTCTTATTTTGTATAAACAGATAATATTCATATGCCTGGTAATATAAAGATCTTTAGAAGTGTTATATTTGTATTTTGTTAACTAATTAATTGTGATCTGAGATTTATCAATGCATCGTTGGACACGATAACATGGTTATATAAACTCACTTACAATACCTTCTAATTAAGAAAAGGCTTTAATTTTGAAAAGAAATTAACACAATAGTTTAAGTTATAGATACAATGGATCGTTGGCGGTGAATACGTTGATGCTTTTACATGTATGTCGCCTTCAATAACTGGTCAATATAAAATAAATGAAACGACTTGAAAGTGTTCTCAAATATCTTTTCCTGTGACTTGGGTCATCGAAAAGTTTAGCTTTCTGTCTTATGTGTATAATTGTACTGCTGATCACGCCCTTTTATCTCATCTATAAACAGAGTTAATTCCCTTAACTTCCCGGGATCGATGTAATAAGCACATTTCTTTTACCTTTGCGATAATAATCTGCATTGATTTATTATTTTAGTTTTTCATTTTTGAATCAACACCTTTACTCTTATAGAGTCTGATAACCTTGAACACGTTGATGTTTTCGTTTTTGTTGAACTTTATTGGAGTTGTGGAACATGTAATTGTTTCTGTAGATACCAAATTTCTTTGTTAGTAATTTTTTGTTGGTGTATGGAATCCGGATAAACTGCTTGCCATATAGAGCCACTACAGGGGACTGAAATACAAATAAATATAAATGTACAAAATGTTCACATGTGTGTGTATTTTAATAAAACATTACAACGTATTATTCAGTTCCATAAATCCAAAGTTTCAAATAATATCCAATGTTTTCAGCAGAGATTTTACAGGTTGTTATTTACCATGTTTACAAGACAATAGATATAAGAAGATGTGGTGTGAGTGCCAATGAGACAACTCTCCATCCAAGCAAAAATTTATAAAAGTAAACCATTATAGGTCAAAGTACGGTCTTCAACACGGAGCCTTGGCTCACACCGAACAGCAAGCTATAAAGGGCCCCAAAAATGACTAGTTTAAAACCATTCAAACGGGAAAACCAACGGTCTAATCTATATAAAAAACGAGAAACGAGAAACACTTTTGAACCACATCAACAAACGACAACTACTGAACATCAGATTCCTGACTTAGGACAGGTGCAAACAATTGCAGCGGGTTTAAACGTTTTAATGGTACCAAACCTTCACCCTTATCTAAAACAATAATGTAACATCACAACATAGAAAAACACACTACAAAATATCAATTGAAATGGCTTAACTCAATCAAAAGACATATTAACACCAGTGAACATACACTGAACAAATAAGTTTGATCTATGATACAATGCAAATACAAAATAAATAAACTAAGGGAAGAATAATTAAAGTAACATGTTATACCGCTGTGAAATGTTAAACAATTTAAGAAAAACAATATACTTGAACAAAAATATCAGCAAAATCTATTTTACCTTACCCCTGACATAATGCATTAAAAGATAAAAAGGGGAAACTGCATGAAAGGTTTCTAGTTTGGATTCACATTGTACGCTGGTTTTATTTTTTTTTTATTTATGAAATGAAATCATTACTTTTATTTTCTTCTGTTGAAACTCGCAATGTTTGGGTGAGAAAACCATTGAACGGAATGAATACATTTACTTCATTTATAAGTATATATTGAGCACCGAATATTAAAAGAATACAAGTTCGTGCAAAATTCAAAGTCCTCCATTATTCAATGATGTACCGGTCTACTAAATGAGTAGAGGAGGATATCAAAATAAAGTCTCAAGACTTCCTGTGAACTGTTACAATGAACCATGTGAACAAGTACGTGAATGCGAGCTAACTAAGTGTGTGACTGTCGGTCTAGTATAAACCAGGGACTGGTTCACAAACATTTACCTTAGCATGTTTTCTTCCTAAATATGCATGTTTAACCCCGCCACATTCTGTATGTGTCTGTCCAAAGTCAGAAGCATGTAGTTCAGTGGTTGTCGTTGGTTCATGTCTATCATATTTGTTTTTCGTAAACTATTTTGTTATAAATTAGGCCGTTAGTTTTCTCAATTGATTTGTTTTATATATTCATATCGGGGCCTTTTATAGCTAGCCCATACGGTATGGGTTTTTCTCATAGTTGAAGGCCGTACGGTTGCCTATAATTGCTTACATCCACTTCATTTTAACTTTGGTGGATAGTTGTCTCATTAGCAATCATACCACATTTCCTTATTTTTATTTTTAATATCTATTGACGGACGTTCAATATCTATCAATTAATTTACCTATATTTATCAAAGTTATATACAAATAAATGGAGACTGTGACCATGGGACAAAGATGATGCCCCCGCTTGCATATAACGTTATCAAGGGACATAACTTAAGAACGGTAAAAGTGACGCCACCCAAATTCGTACTTGATCTGTGTTTTGTGGTAATAAGCATCGTGTATAGGTTTCATAACATTTGGTTGAAGCAAACTAAAGGAAGAGAACTGAAATTAATTTTGGGACGTACGAGGTACGTACGTACGGACAGACGGAAAAGGGTAACGCTGCGACGGGGACATAAATATGTAATAAAGTTCGTACTTTTATTTGGTAATCTTTTCCATTAACTTTTACCCGATTCCGTAACTGTTTCCCGTTAAGTACTCCATGTCCATTAACACCAAGCAATTCTGTTTTAAGCTGCTTTGATAGTTTGTTGATATATTTATCCAATGATTTTTTATTGCGTGCTGTTATAATGCTTGTATTAGGAAACATTTGTCTTATGGTTGGTTTACGACTAGTAGCGAGGTTAGATTGTCGTCTGCTGGTCTCTGACACTATTCGTCGTGGTTTGACGGGCTTACGACTAGTAGCGAGGTTAGATTGTCGTCTGCTGGTCTCTGACACTATTCGTCGTGGTTTGACGAACGTGTATCTTCTTGTAGTTATTTTCACAATGCGCGGCATCGCTTTATGGCCTCTTTTTGAAGGCATTCCACGTATGTTATTGGTAAATACGTTTCTGCCATAAAGTGCTTGCAATGGTCTAAAATTGTCAGCTATATCACGGTATTTATTTATATGACGGTTTCCAAGTAAACGGAATAAATTGATCTGAAACAAGAGAAAGTAATTAACTGCATATCTAAAAAAAAATAAAATAAAAAATAAACACAAAACAAACAAAAAAACAAAAAAACAATTTGGTGTTAGGTTAGATCTTTGAAAGATTCTGTAATATTAATTTTATACACAACACCTTTAGACTAAGGACAATTTACAGTCTGACATATTGTATAGCCAACTGTCTATTATTGAAGACTATATGTTGACCCCGGATGTTGACCTATTTTATTTGTGTTATTTTGTTGCTGTTTTGATGACTTACCCTTCATCATGGCCCTCATCTCCTTTCTTCATTTCTATAAAATAATGTGTTGTACAAACTTTTGCCCCAAACAGTTATCATTTATTACTTATCGACATTCGCATTGGATGTTGCAGTAAAGTTCGTAAAATATTATTACCAAATTAAGCGTTTCAAAAGTATATTAAATCAAAATTAAAATTCAGCTTTTCTATAACGAGAAGAAAAATAACATTTGAACTATGAAATTAAATCGACATCTAAAACTTTGCTGATTCTTTAACACTGTACACTTGATGTGTGTATATATAGTCATTTTGGGTTGGAAAGAGTTTCGGAGGAAGTATCTTCTAATTGGTAGAAAGTATCACATTTAGCGTGACTGACATAACATAAATTTTACCTAGTAAGACGAAATAGATTTTAAAGTTATTTCAAAGTTTTCGTCTTAAAAATTTGATAATATGAAAGTGTACATAAAAACAGTGTGATTTATGAAGATTAATACTACCTGTTGTTTTGAAATAGAAATAGGTGACTTAAATATAGTCCATATAACACTTTCGTGACACGGAGGTGTCGTCAAACTACCGTAATATCTGTAGTACACATCATGTGGTGACGGAAACAATGACGTCATAGAAAATAGTGGCATTGTTACATTATCCTCTGGAAGTAAAGTTTAAAATCACTCAAAGCAAGAATAAAAGTATAAATATCAATCTCCGATGGTGCTTCCTTTAGCAATAGTACTACATTTGCCAAAGATTTTCAATAGATATTAAGAAACATGACTAATTTTGATGTTTTTAATCGATGAAAGGTAACTTTTCTGCCGATTATGGACCTTTTGTGAGATGAAAAAAGATAGACAAAGGAAGAAGAGGGGGAGGTTCACATAAAAGTGGAAAAAAATCAGAGGCTCACAAAGGAACAACTATGATGAGTATCCTTCAAGTATACGTTGTTTTTTTTTAAATTCAAAAGCAAGCGATTATTTCACCAAATACTGAACTAATGGATAAAGTATTATTATAAAGTATATTGCATACACGAGAAAATTATCTTCACTGCAAATTACATAATCTTTCATTTTTCGGCAAAATAACAGGTTGGGTTTATCAATTTTTCTGTGGACTAAATAGCATTAAAAATCATCTGCATACAAACAGTGCATAAAAAGCTAAATACTTTTAAATTGCAAAAATATTTTTAACGTAAACAAATCTTTTTGTTAAGATGGAAAAAACGTGCATTAGAAGCAAGAGTTACAAGTGTTGAATTTGAAATCGTCCCTTCGTAAAATTTACGGACGTCATCACGAGTTGGTTGACCGTTACGGAATATCCGTTTCACATATGACAACGGATATGTTCCAATTGTCGTAACTACAATCCAGTCCCCTTTTCCCCGAATGTGACCTACCGAATTAGACTTATCACCGGGTTTGTACTAAAATCAGTAACACGACGGGTGCCACATGTGAAACAGGATATGTTTACCCTTCCGGAGCACATGAGATCACCCTCAGTTAATGGTGGGGTTCGTGTTGCTAAGTCCTTGTTTTTCTATGTTGTGTTTTGTGTACTGTTGTTTGTCTGTTTGTCTTTTTCTTTTTTAGCCATGGCGTTGTCAGTTTATTTTCGACTTATGAGTTTGAATGTCCTTTTTGGTATCCTTGACCTCTTCTAAGGTAAAAAACACAAAATTCTAAATAGAATGTTCAACTAATCATACCAATACATTAAGGAAGAGGTTACCCGTAATATATATATGTAATTCAGGTCTCAGAAAGGGTATATAATGTGACATTTCCCGCTGGTTCAGGGATTGACTGAGGCCTAAATAACGTACTAGTATACTATATAAATTATTTACCTTCGCGGATTATTTTAGCAAAACAATCACATATCTCATCAAACATGGTGTTAGCACCGCCGATCTGTAACGACAAAATTAATGAGCACTGGGATGTAACAAGGGAGATAATACATATTTATACGAACCATATCTGATGTTTCACTTCATACAATATTTCCTAAAAGAATTTCTTCTTAAAATAACATTAGAAAGACAAGTACATGGAACTGCATTCATGAAACTGTGGTCTAAGAATAGCTAATAGTTTTTCTTGTGTAACTCTATAGCCTCTCAGTCGGTACATATAAATTCTGTAACCCTAAACAACAAATGTAGGAATATGAAAGGTTAAAATGGAAAAGCATTTTTTTCTGGACAAAACTTAGATACATCTTGTACAAGATAGATACAGATAGAACAAGCACGTACAGCTGTACATACATTGACACATAATAATAGTATACGAACAATACATAAAAGTAAAGTGGAATAGTAAAGAAGGATATATTATGATTACATAAGATAACACTTGATAAACAAAAACAAAGGAACACTGTTTTTATTACTGTTCTTCATCTAAATGTCACTTGTTTAACCCAACACCATATTCATTTGACTGTCAGAAATCAGGAACCTTCATCGTTAGTCCTTATATTTTGTCACATCTCAATGTGTTAAAAGTAATAGTTTGAAATGTTACAATATGTTTCAAACTTACGTCAATAAAGAAAGAAATCACAGCTAAAGCTCCTGTAGAGTTCAAAGCATCTTTATACTGTCGAAATCTGGAACTGTAGGATACTATATGCATCTGCAACACAATATAATGATAGCATTTCTTTAAGACTGAAAACTTATCTTTAAGATGTTTTTTCCCCGTCTTCAATTCGATGTCTCATTGGCCCACACAACATCGTGCCTCCTTGTATTTATATTAGTTTACTGTGTTTTCTTATGTTATCCTCTAATCGAGATAAAGATTAGGGGGGGGGGGGGGGGAGTTGCTGATATTTGGTTGCCTTAAATCTTGTTTAACTGTCTGTCGAAGCTCGGAGAGATCAGGGCTGATATGCATAAAAGTATGTAACAATATGTTAAGGACGGATTTTCCTACCTGTCCTACGATAAATTAGTTCTACGATTGGGTATCCTAACTTAAGTGGTTTTATGCATATCAGGCCTGATCCTAACATATGTACTTGTCTGTTATTGAAGATGATTTACATGTGTATAGTATTGTCACATTGGCTTATGTACCTACGTGTAATATTTCCTTATTTTTATATACCACAACAGTTCTTATATGATTTGCACAAATGTCTACTAATTCGTCATTGCGATTGGTCCGTTTGGTTTTTTTTTTTCGTTCGTTTACACCTCGATAGACCATAATTTCTGAAACAACTTTCCTAAACTGTGTAAATAATATATCGATTTCGCCGCTAGGATATTTTCATGACCGATACACATGAATGGAATCTTTGGGTTCTAAGAAAATTAAGATTAAAGAAAAAAAGCTTGGGTTGAGTAAGCGGTCCTAGCCGAATTTTCTTAGATTTTTGCGTGATTTATTAAGGAAATAAGAAGAAAATAATATTTTTTAAAATGTTTGTTTCAGCCTCTAGATCTCTTAGACTTTTTGATTTGCAAATGAAAAGAAGAAACAATAAATGAATTTATTAAATGCGCATATGGTAGATAAAATTGAAAGTATATATCTACTTTTAGTCATTTTGTATGTATAGATAACCTCCATTGGAAACTGCCTGTAATCAAAGTCATGCTCGCTTCCCCTGTGATATACATTTCCTCCGTTGGAAACTGTCTGCCGTCAAAGTCATGCTAGCTCCCCTGTGATATACATAACATCTATTGGAAACTGCCTATCATCAAAGTCATGCTCGCTTCCCCTGTGATATTCATTACCTCCATTGGAAACTGCCTGCCATCAAAGTCATGTTAGCTTCCCCTGTGATATACATTACCTCCGTGGGAAACTGCCTGCCATCAAAGTCATGCTCGCTTCCTCTGTGATAAACATTACCTCCATGGAAAATTTCCTGCCAAAAAAGTCATGCTCGCTTCCCTTGTGATCAGCATTAATTTATCTCTAAGGGAAACTGACTGCCATCAAAGTCATGCCCGCTTCCCCTGTTGTATACATTACCTCCATGGCAAATTGCCTGCCATCAAAATCATGCTCGTTTCCCCTGTGATATACATTACCTCCATGGGAAACTGCCTGCTATCAAAGTCATGCTCGCTTCCCCTGTGATATACATTACCTCCATGGGAAACTGTCTGCCATCAAAGTCATGCTCGCTTCCCCTGTGATCAGCATTACCCCAGTGGAAGTGGAACTGTTTCACTTTGTGTCTCCCTTGTAAACTTCCTCCAGTGATAAAACAATTATCATCCAAAACTTCTACTTCAACTTAAACAAAATAAGAAATCACATTTATGCATTGTACAACAAAAACAGCTGACTAAAGTTATGTGAAAGGATTTTGTTTTGGTTTTGTTGGAAGCAATTTTGGTAAAATATATTCATTCGATGCAAAAACAAAGTGGTCATAGGAATTTCTACAGTGGCGTAGGAGTAAATTGAAAAGTTTTACAGTTAAATAAGGGAAAAGCGAGAAAAACATATAATTGACTTTGAAATAAGACACGATTTTTTAATTTCCTGTCTACCATTAACATGATTAAATCAATCAGGAAAAAGAACCTCATTCACATAAACTAACTATAAATGAAAAGTTCAAAGCCTAATATTATTTATTATAGAATACGACAACATCATAAACAGAACAAGTAATGTCTCCCATGTGAAGTAAACATATCAATAACCGAAGGTTGACCGAATATAAACTTTTTATTGTAAACAAAAACACAAAAATAGTATCTACAAAAAAAACCAACTTGACATATATTGTCCTTAAGAATGATAAATATTCTTGTACTATATTTGGCATTGTTTTGAATTTGGTTTTTTTTCTTTCTGCTATTTATCTGAATGAAATCAAATTCCATGATGCAAAAAGGCAATGTCTCAATAATGGCAGGTGCTATAAAAATTCATATTACTTTCAATTTGAGTTACTTTTGTACCAAACTTATAGCATGTATAGATAATATGAGACGTTGGATACACACTGAGATTATTCAAGCTAGAAATTGGAAAACAGATTACACGTCTACGTATTCATAGAATCTACCGCTGCATCCCATTTACTGTGTGCACGTGTATTCCAAAAATCTATTACTTGACCCTAACAACTACGCACGTGTATTCCTAGACTATGTACCACTTGATCCAATTAACTATGCAAGTGTATTCCTAGATTCTACCACTTGATCCAAATAACTATGCACGTGCATTTCCCGACTATACCGCTTGATCCCTTTACCTATGCACACTTGTGCGTATTATCAGACTCTGCCACTAGATCCCAATAACTATACAAGTGTATTTCCAGACTCTGCCACTTTATCCCAATAAGTATGCATGTGCATGCCCATACGCTACCACTTGATCCACTTAACTGTGCACGTGCATTCCCCGACTATACCACTTGATCACTTTACTTTTGCACACTTATTATCATACTCTACCAATAGATCACAATAACTTTTCACGTGTATTGTAGGACTCTGCCACTTTATCCCAAAAACCATGCACATTTATGCCCAGACTCTACCACTTGGTCCCAATAACTACATGTATGCACGTGCTTGCCCAAATTCATTAACTGTGATAGAATTTTATCACGATCCACAAGACTTATATTTTAA